AATATATAGACTTAAATAAGCTTTCCGACAATGGTATATTAAGTTTAATGATACTATTACTTCTTTTGGTTTTAATGAAAATACTATTGATCGGTGTATATACTAGAAAGTTAGTGGGAGTAAGTTTATATTTCTGATTCTATATGTTGATGATATTTTGCTTGCTAGTGGTGATCTTGGTTTATTGCATGAAACTAAAAATTATCTCTCTAATAATTTTGAGATGAAAGATATGGGTGAGGCATCCTGCATGATAGGAATAGAAATATTTCGTGACAGATCACGTGAATTGTTAGGATGTCTCAGAAAACATATATTGAGAGAATTCTAGAGAGATTTGGTATGGAATATTGTTCAGCTGGTGTTGTTCCAATACAAAAAAGGGATAAATTTAGTTTAATGCAATGCCCAAAGAATGAATTAGAACATAAAGAAATGCAAAATATTCCTTATTCATCTATTGTGGGAAGTTTGATATATGCACAGGTTTGCACTCGTCTAGATATTAGTTTTGCAGTTGGAATGCTGGGCAGATACTAAAGCAATCTAGGAATGCATCACTGGAAAGCTGCAAAGAAAGTCATAAGATACTTACAAGGAACATAGAATTATATACTCACATTTAGAAGGACCGGTGACTTTGAGGTTATTGGTTACTCAGACTCAGATTTTGCTAGATGTGTGGATAGTAGAAGATCCACTTTTGGTTATTTGTTCCTTTTAGTTGGCGGGGCAATATCATGGAAAAGCCGAAAACAGTCTATTATTGCTTCATCTACTATGGAGGCTGAGTTTGTAGCATGCTTTGAGGCTACAAATCATGGTTTGTGGTTGCGGAACTTTATTTCGGGATTTGGTGTTATGGATTTAATTTCCAAACCGCTAAAAATTTATTGTGATAACACCACAGCTGTCTTCTTTACTAAAAATGATAAGTATTCCAATGGCGTTAAGCATATGGAGCTGAAATATCTTACCGTCAAAGAAGAAGTTCAGAAACAACGAGTGTCTTTTGAAAATATGAGCATACAATTTATGGTTGTAGATCCATTAACAAAAGGATTACCACCCAAGACATTCATAGGGTATGTTGAAAGAATGGGTCTTGAATGTAATCAAAGTTAATTATTATTTCTATTGTGGATTGCTTAACAATGCTTATATATATTTGACATTTTGAGCTCATTAAAATGTGTTTATGATATTTCCTGTTAATTTATGTATGTACATGGATGTATTACTTTAAATGTTGAAAAAAAAGGAATAGTCTTAGAAAGGACATTATTGCTAGACCTTTATTGATGCTTCTCACTTGTAGACTATGTTAAATGGGTTACTAGTATTGTGGTACATGGAAGGGACTGTGTTATTTAGTGACATACAACTGTCATGACTCACATTGGTAGTTTGTTTACCATGGTATTTATAATGACCATATTAATATCTTAATTTGATTTATGGTGCACACTAATGACTATTTTACTAAACCACTACAGAAGTTATCATATGTGCCAAGTGGGAGAATGTAAGATTATTTATTTAATTATGGCCCACATGATGTGGACATGTGACATATTACTTGGTGGCTAAGTAAACAGATATCAATTAATATTATTTATTCTTGGTCAACTTATAATTACCTTTTTGGTAATTACTTATTAGAGAAGTGTTTTCCTTCTAATTCCTTACTTTGATGGAAAGTAGAATTATGTTACTAAAAGGAAAACTGGTCATCTCTCTGCCTTTATAAAAGTGCATATACTCTATCAATTATGTACGATTAAGGATACAACACGTGAAAGTTTTATGTGTGCAAAAGGCCAAGAGAGAGAAACCAGTTTCCACCTTTGCCTATTGATTAGAGTTGCAGATTGGTTCATGGTTAAAGGATTTGGACGTTGGATTTAATCTCAACAAGGTTTGATATTATGAATCGAGGTATGTATATCTAATTATATTTATTTATGCGTTATAAGGATGTGAAATTAATTGAAGTTCTAAGATCTAGGAATTTATGATAATTTGTGATTAATGTTTAACACAAATTAATTAGAGTTTACAACCTTGACTCGAAACAAATGGGAGTAAGGGAAAGAGCTGGTTGCCTATAAGCGTGAAAGCTGCCAATGTGTAAAAAGAAAAATGGAGTACAAAAAGAGATAAACAAATATATATGTGTCTTTTGCATATGTTGATTGTTTGATTTCTAAGGATATGTAATAACATTGATTTATTATCTGAAGTCTGAGCAATTGACAGATCATATGTTTTTGGAACTTGGTGGTGATTTTACTACACTTACTAAGTTTGTGGAACTTCATAGATTTGATGTTGGTTAATTCTGTTGATACATATAATCTTGTGGAGTCTACATTCTCATTGGTTTTAATTTACAAGATTTATACGGTTGGTTGCTTCCTACTTCTAGGATTTTTCATCCCTGAGACCCTTGTTAATTTGTGACAAAAAGGGAGAGATACTTGGAGTTGAGTGGGGAGTACTTTTTGCTTTAAGGGAGAGAACCATTGTTCATTGCATTACATTGCATTGATATTCAGGCATTATTAGCTTTGCTATTTTATGCTTGTGTTTATTTTCTTGAATAAGCTTCACGGGTAGTTGAAAGCTAATGTGCAGATTACAGGTTACTACATGTATTAAAGTTTCATGAGGTTCAAGAAAATTTTCGCATTTTATTTCCTTTAACAATCGTTGTAATTTACTTTCCTACTTGGGTAGATTACTGAATTGTTTTTAGGGTCTTGTCATGAAATTGCCAAAGGGGGGGGGGATTGTGAGATATATATTTTGTAATTAGCTTATTTCGTTGTCAAAACAAAACCAATTGACAAAAGTTGAAGATCGGATATGGATTTGAAGAAAGTCAAGTGCTCATGATATATTACACTTCGAGATAATGAGAACAATACTCTAAGAAGGTTGAGAGGTAGTGAGATTAGTTAGGAAGGCTTCTGGAAGGTTTGGAACAAGTTTAATTGCAAAATTTCAAGACTGGTCATCTTGAACCGGTTCAAGAGAGCTGAACTGGTTCAAGAATCCATGGAATTCCTTACTGGCCATCTTGAATCAGTTCAAGATGGCTGAACCGGTTCAAGAAGTCCTAGATGCATCAGGTTTCCAGGTTACCTTCTTCTATTGTTTCTTTTTTAATCCCAACTTGTTTACAAGTCTTGTGCATGAAATTTATCATATTTTCTAAAGGATTAGGACTTTCAAAACTCTATATAAACTATGTCATATACATTGGTTTATGAATGGCTTTAGGGAAAATCAATTTTATATTTTGAGAAAGCCTTCTAGAGAGAGAAAATTCAGAAAATCAAATCTGATTATTCTGAATTTATTTATGAGAGCATACACATATATTCATGAGTGATTTAGTGGTGTTGTTCTCTATCTCATCGGAATTGGAGCTATACTGAAGATTCAGATTTAATTCTTCTACAATCGAGTTCAGATCTTGAAGAAGAGAAGTAAACGCAATCACACTTTAAAAGGGTTAGAGCATTCGTGGAGTGTTGTCTGATCTACCTGCTACTCTTCTACAAATATCAAGTGTAAGCCTAAGGTCAAGTTGCTGTTGGACGGGGAGTTGCAAAGCCAGAGGATTGTCAGCGGTTGGTGTGGTGTAGAACGATAGGGTGTGAGCCAGAGTCAAAGTTCGGTATACTTTTTTCAAGCATAGTGGATTGGTTTACTTTGGACTGCATAGTCCACGAGGTTTTTCCCTTAACAGTTGACGTATTTTATCAACTGGGGTTTCCTCGCTAAAAATCCTGGTGCAATCTCTCTAAACTTTAACCTGCTCGACTTTATATATATTTGTGATTGTGGATGTTTAAATTGATCATATAATTTAATCAATCATAAATTGAGCAAGTTGGCCTAATAATTGGATTTAGGTCATTCAAGGAGTTAGTCACAATTAAAATCAACTAACTGTTTCCGCATCCTGCATAACTCTTGTTTCACAGCTTTTGTAAATTTGTCTTCTTGTGCAATAAAGAAAAAAAAATAGAGAAAAAAATGCAATAAACGTGAGAGAATGGAACAAATAAAGAAAGACCAAATAGAGAAAGAAAGAAAGGGGAGTAGTTTGTTGCAATGAACTTTGTCTTCTTGTGCAATAAAATAATAAAATAATTTTACCGTTCCTACTTTTTTTTTTTTTTTTTTTTCTTTTTCTATTCTGTTTTTTTCTTCTTCCCTTAAGATTGTTTAAGATTGTTTGGTTTTACGATTCAAAACTGAAACTAAATATCTTCTATTTGCTGTTTTTTTTAATGAAGCTTTATTGTTTTAATTGTGCTATTTTGCTGGCTACTTTATTGGTTTAATTGTGATATATTTAGTATTTTTATTACTGGATGTTTATTGTTTAATTGTGTTCTTTTTGCTGAGAATTATTGTTTTAAATTTTTACTTGTGCACCTCACATCACTCGGGCGTGCGCCTCACCGTGCGCCTCGCGCCTAGACTCTAAGAGAACTCTAGCGCATCAGTGCGCCTAACGCCTTTAATAACTATGCTTCTAATAATCCTCTATTGTTTCTTCTGTTTGTTTTACTTGTGAATTTGAACCATTGAATATACTACATGTTAGCCAGCAGACATTTGTGCTCTACTTTTAACTATGCGTTAGTCTATTTTAATAGCATAAGTATAATACTTTTTCCCATTTTCCCACAAAAGAAAGCCATGGAAATTGTCTAAATTTTTATTTTCTTAGTCCATTTTAACTCAATCACAAATTTCCTTTTGTTTTATAGAGAAAAACAGAAGCACAAAAGTAGTAATCAAAATTGCAGTGCTCATAGGGTCAGTAACCATTGCAATCTGTCCCTATTTTTTATGGAGGTGGATGGCTAGCCCAAGAGTTATATGCTCACTAAAATTAGCTAAAGAGATTAGCACATATTTGCTGTTATTATATAGATTACCTACTAAACTCTGAATCAAGAAGGAAGAAAAAAAGAGAGATGTCACTGCCTAAGAAAAGGAAAGTGAATCCATATCCTTTGAATGATAGCTTGCATGGAGACAATCTAAACAAAATTAAACTCGGAAAGCTACGCATTTTCAGTTTTGAGATGCTGGAAATTGCAACTAACAAATTTGATGTTGCCAATAAGCTCGAGCAGGGTGGTTTTGGTCCAGTGTACAAGGTAATACTTGTTCATCTGAAATTTACCAAAAATAAAAAATAAAAAATTCCATTGAATCTTTACTTTCAAGGAACATTGCCATCTAAACTAGATATAGCTATTAAATAGCTTTCATGATCCTCCGGACAAGGGCAGGAGGAATTTATGAATGAGGTTGTGGTGATTTCTCAACTCCAGCACCGTAATCTTGTTAGACTTCTTGGCTGCTGTGTGGAAGGAGAAGAAATGATATTGATGTATGAATACATGCCAAGTAGTAGCTTAGATCGATTTCTCTTTGGTTTGTTCATGCAAAAAGCTCTTTATGTTTTTGTTTTTTTTGAAAGATTATTTCTAGTTATTTTATTTTTACAATCTTAACATATTGAGGAACTTAATTGCGTTAAGAAGACAAAATGCCATTCTTGTTCTAGTCTCTGGGGAAGTTTCGTCTCAACATCAATTTTATTGTCCCTACAACTTTAACCAACTTTAATTTTCTTTTCTTTAATATTCTTTCAGATCCAATCAAGCAAAAATTTCTAGATTGGAGAAAATGTGCCAGAATAATTGAAGGGATTGGCCGTGGCCTTCTTTACCTTCACAGAGATTCCAGATTAAGGATTATTCACAGAGATCTTAAGACGGGTAACATTTTGTTGGATGAAGATCTAAATCCAAAAAATTCAGATTTTAGCATGGCAAAGATTTTTGGAGGTAACCAAGAACAAGCCAACACTAGAAGGGTTGTTGGAACCTAGTAAGTGCTTTTTACTTTGCCTAAAATGATCAATGATTCATGTGATAATCCTTCTTTCTCATGTGGGTACTTCAACTCAAATAATTTTATTGCTTGGGCTTTAACGAGTATAATGACACAATGCAGTGGCTATATAGCCCCTGAATATGCAATGCATGGAAGATTTTCAGAAAAATTTGATGTTTTTAGCTTCGGAGTGGTGTTGTTAGAGATTGTAAGTGGAAAAAAGAACACTAGCTTTTATAAGGATGAGCACTCTTTAACCCTTATAGGATTTGTAAGTTTACTTGAACTATTGCCTCAGCTACTCCATATGGTTCCCTTTTAATCATTCTAATTTCAACGTTTCATGGTTGTGTTGCTGTGTCCAGGCCTGGAAATTGTGGAATGAAGATAGGATTGAAATGCTCATAGATCCAACAATTTCTGATCCATGCTTTCAAGTTGAGATCTTGAGATACGTACATGTAGGACTGTTGTGCATGCAAGAATTCGCAACTAATAGGCCAACTATTTCTACTATTCTTTTAATGCTTAGTAGTGAAATTGCTAATCTTCCAACTCCAAAGCAACCTGCATTTACTAAAATATTGGGCCTATAAATAAATGATCTTCTCAAATGACCCGAAGAAGGAGATTTTCTACAAACAATATAACTCTAACAACCATTGATGCCCGTTAGCATACAAATTCTTGTGATTTTTTTCTCTTATTATTATCCCTTAAGAATGTTTTTATTGTGTATAAAGACTATAGTTGTGTTCAAAGTTCACATATAATTATGTTCTCATCGACTGCATTCAAAAGTCAGTGTTTGCCTATCAATGTCATTGCATTGTGATTAAATCATTAGATTTGATGTAAAAGTGGGACTACCCTAGATGCAATTCAATGGTTAATATTCCAAAAGCAGATTCAAGGAAGCTTCGAATGCATGCTTAAATGGTAATTGTAATAATATAGTAGTAACAAATTAAATTGACTAAACACAATCTTGATTTGAATAACACTAGAGAACCATGATGGCTTCATTTCTTTTCTTCTTCTTTGTTTTTTTCCCGGTAAATAAAGGTGACTTCATTTTTCTTGTATGGTCTTCATCTTAATTAGATATAATTTTCAGTAACTTTCATTCCAATGTTTTTCAATGATTTAAGGGTTAAAAGTTAGTTTGCAAAAACTGTAAGAATCTTCTGTATTACACATACAATGCTGATTTTTTTTTTTTTTTTTTTTTTTTTTTTTTTTTTTTTTTTTGGCGTTGGTAATTTAATGCTGATTTTGGTATAAAATAAAATGTTGATGAGTTGGGAAAGTAAATTTTTCCATGACCTAAATTCCAAATTGAATTCAAATTTCAGTGTATTTCTTCAGTAACAATAAGCACTGGAATAAAGTTACCTACTCAGTTTCTACAAATCCAGCGAACAACATATTACAGTTAGGAAACACTTAAGGGTAAACAAGCACCACACGAGTTATATAAAGTTTCATAGTTTAGTATAAAATCTACATTCACAGTGAAAATTCCACAAAAGAATCATTATGTGAAAAATAAGTGAATGCAAGTCTGATTTCTCAAATCATCTCTTTTTAAAATGCAATTTTTAATTTTATATAAACCCTAATTACCCTTAGATCCACCCCATTAGTTGTGACAACCCTGGTTTTTAGGCCAACGTGTCCTATGATGAACCGAAGATTTGACCCGATAACGGATCCGATATGCGGAAGCGAAAACAGAAAACAGGACTCTAAGAAGTCAAAGTGACCTTCCATAAGGTCATGGAACTTAATGAGAACTGATGCGGAAGCAAAAGGTCAAAATATGACAAATAAGCCCCCAGGGGCAAAATAGTCCTTTTTGAAAAATGTGGATTCGGGTGCCACCGAGCACACCGCTGGAAGGATAACGAAAAACTAATCAAGATGGACTCAAGAATCGCATGATTCGGAGTCCGGACGAAGGAGAAACGGCATGACGACGAAAAACGGACACTTAAAGCTTTAAGGGAAAACTGGTAATTATCCAGGAAGAACTGGGTGCAACCGAGCACGCCGTTGGAAAGACAGCGAAAAATTAGTCAAGTTCAAAAAAAAATTCACTTGAATCGGAGTCCGGACGAAGGAGAAAAGCCCAAAAGAAGAATTGACGTCGCGGCGGCCTGACAAGGGCCATGGCGCATAAGGCGCCCATGCGCGAGCCCACTGGCACGCATGCCGGTGCCCAAAGACATGGCTGGTGGCAGCCCTTGGCTGCTGCTACATTTTTTTTTATCTGCCCAGAACTGAGGCTTGAAACGGAGGTCAAGACGAGTTTTTATGGAAAAACACGAAGAAGAAACCCCCCCTAAATCGAGTTTTCTACCCGACGAAGCGGACGGAATCGAAAAAAACTCACTGTAAAATCCCCAAAATGCCCCTAGATCAGAACTGAATAAGAGAGTCATAAAGCTGCTAAATGAAAACTGGAAGCTGAAACTTCACGAGGGATTTCCGGTACCAAGATGACATTTTTTGGAAAAACACGAAGAAGAAACCCCCCCTAAAATCATGTTTTCTATTCAACCATATCAAAAGAAGAAAATAAAACTGATGTGAAAGGTCTATAATGTCGCAAGATCAGAATACGCAAAAAAAAAAATGCAAAATGAATTCACAAGAGGCTCAAAACACAAACGATAAGGTTTTGCCTGGAAACGACCATGCACGCAAACGTAACTTACCTATTTGGACGTGTTACAATGGTCCACGACATAAAAAAACCACCGATACAAAATCCGACCCCCCAACGGGCAAAAAGGCAAAAATGGAACTTGGAATGAAAACTCGGAATCCAAAAATACAAAATGGGATCAAATGACCGTTTGGCCCTTGGCCACACTTCAAACATGATTTATGAGACCCTGTGAAAGAATGAGAATGGAATTCCCACACCCGATGCACCCATGGTGAAGCAATGACTTGCGATCTTTCAAGATTTTCACAATATTTCATGAAGTTAAAAAGTACATAGAATACAATATAATGTTCATTGGCCTCCGGCCTCATCTCATACATATCAAATACATAGAAAGAAGTGTACTTAAGTACACATTACATACATGGAATCAAATATACATATTTTGACATATAAGTCTACAAAATGACATTTCATGCTAACATTCGCATGAAATGGAAACTTGAAAGCTACACGACATCCAAGGAATGCTAGGCGTCACGAACCAAGTTTTCGTACCTGAAATATGCCCCAGTATCGTAGGGGTGAGTAACATAAAGCTGCTAGTAGAAGATGAGCATGCATCGACCTAGCATTTTACAAATTTATCACCTTAAGGTGAAACATGTTAACGGGGTTCATGCCACCTAACGTCTATGTTCTAAATAAGTCTAAGGAATCATCCTAGGCAATGCTGAACAATCAAACCAAAATTTACAACTTCAATGCAATCTAACCACATAAAAACATATTATACAAGGCAACAAAATATAATTTCTTAAAGCTATTAGCTTGAAATCTAAAGCACGAAAACAACAGAAGTGGGTCATGCCACCTAACATCTAAGTTATAAATGAATCAATAGGATCAATCATAAGCTTTGTTAGAACGTCAAAAAACAATTTTCAATATCGATGCAATTTAACCAACATTGGAACTTCCAATACAACGCATAAAGCACAATTTCGCAAAGTTAACATCATGTAACTTAAAAAGGAACGACAAATAAGAAACAATAAGTTACAACATCATCTAGTTTTCAACTTGAAAATAAAATGAAAAATCAAACAAAGTGGATACTCGGACGTCACGCCGGATCAGACCGATAACATAGTTACTTTAGGGTTACTAGCCCATGGGTAACCTCCCTATGTGCGCACTAGACCATATAGAGGGACTATCCCCTGTACTAGAACTACGTCCTAACCATAGTCAAACAACGACATCCCTAAGTTTCAAAAATCAACAAGTTGTGCAACAACGAATATATCAACAGGAATATGCAAGATAATCAACTATCTACTAAGCACAACCAAATTTGGAAACCTATACAATACATACTCTAAATCCATAACTAATATGATATGATGAATGTCGAATCTTCAATGTGCGATTCGTTACACGCTGTGCATGAAAGATGTTAAACACGAAGTATGCAAATCATTACACAAGGCAACAATATATTCAATAAGGAAAACATATTATCACGAATACAAACATAGCAACTATGTTATCCAATGTTCAAAACATAACCAAATGAATATACAACAAGTCTAAGTCCAGGATTTGAATATAGAAACCACTTCTAAAACACAACTAGATCATGGAGCAAATTGAAAGAATTTAAATAGATAAACACAATTAAATTCTCTAGATTCCGATTCAATTCCAAATAACCTCAATTTAATCCAAGTTAAAGGACATGGTATGGTTATCACCTATATCCATTCTAAAACTCAATTAGGTTGTTGGAACAATAAAGTAGAACTTTAATTAAATTATGTTAATTTAATTAGCAAGGTTCTAAAACAACTTCTAATAGTCCCAAATTAATATATACTAGTAAACAAGTCATGGCCAATACAAATATCAAGTTAAAACCTTAATTAAACTAATGGGACCACAAAATAGATTTTAATTAATTCTTTTAATTAAAATCTCTTGATTTTCAAACTTAACCAAATGCTCTCAAATTAACCTATGTTGGAAAACATGCCAATGACTAATGTAATATCACATTATAAGTTTATTTCATTCAATAATATCACATTACAAGTTTATTTCATTCAATTTACAACCATACGAATTAAACCTTCACTAAAGTTAAATATAAAACAAAAGTTGCAATTCTCATGTAATAAATTCCAATTTAATACATGTGAACAACCATACCAAAACTTAATTTTCTAGCATGCCACAATACAATTCCAAGTTGTATATCACCATGAGGATTAAATCTTAAACATGGAATTTAATTAAATAAAATGTTTCAAAACCTACCCGAATATTCTAAATCAAATATATGGGAAACTATATGGCATGTAAATCAAGAATATCAAGTCAGAATTTTAATAGAGTGAATAGTGCACTCGGGGCAAATTAATTAATAATTACAAATTTTAAAAACACCTTCAATCACTTTCAAATTCAAATATGTTGTAGAGCATGCTAAGGCCTAATTTAATATGCTAACACATATTGATTTTAAACTAGTTAAGGCCATGTGAATTAATCTTTCACCTAAGATAAATATTAAATAAAATCTTTAATACTTATTCAAATGTTCCAATTTTAATACACGATAATGAGCATATCAAGGGGCAATATAAAATCATGCTACATGTGTAAACCAAGTCATGAGCAACCGGGAAAATTAGATCCCGTATAAGAAAAATAAAAAATAAAATCTCTAGATTTTATATTTAATCATGCAAACAAGTAGTATAAGCATTACAAACATGCTATATAACAAGAATTTAAACCTAGAACATCTCCTACCTCAATTTGAGATGAAAATCCCAAAGGCTCACCAAAATGGAACGGCTCCGAATCCAACGAAACTACTAGGTTTTGTCGGGGACAACGCCATGAACATAACCCCCA